GGTGGAATCCTTAGGAAATATTTGCATGTTCTTGTGGTGGGCTTGCCCTGTGTACAGACTCCAAAGAACTACAGAGACCATGTTTTTCAGCGGTGAGGTGAGTGCCATGGAGGTCATTTGGGTGGATGCTGTACAGCAGATGCTGACAAGCCTGGCTGGTGAAGAGAGTAGAATGTTGGGAGGATGTGGTATGTGGTGTTAGGGAGGCAGAAGGTGGGAGAACCTACGTGCCTGGTTTGATCGGTTTCAAGCCATGAGTTAGTAGTGGATGAGGTGGGCCTTTTTAGATCATAATAAAAATATCCGAGATTATGAACCAAAATCAGACAAAAATCAAAATCATAGACTTAGAGAATGTTACTCCGAGAGAGGGCCTCAGAGAGAATCTAAGGTTTGATTGACTTGTTTTACAGACATAAGAAACGGAAGGCTAGTAGGGAAAGCAACATGCCTAAGATGACAGTGTGTGAGCCACAGAACCTAGACAGCTTGCTGCTCTGAATCAAGCTGTAAGACTGGGATTTAGTAAAGGAACAGAACAGAAGTCAGATGGAACGGTGTGGAGGAGAGTGGTTGGAAGGCAACTTGGAGTGTTAGCTGGGCCAAGTCAAGATTTGTAGGATACATGGGGGCTGGCTGTTTAGCTCAGTTTGTTAGAACACAGCCTTATAACGCCAAGGTCGCAGGTTTGGATCCCTGCACTGGCTGGTCGACAAAAAACAAAAAAAATTGTAGGATACAGGGGCCTGAGTGTCTTTGGAGATGGCAGAGAGTCTGTGGTGAGGGGAAAATTGATGTGGCAGAAGGAGAAGGAAGGATAACTAGGATGGGATCATTTCCCTGCTCTGCCAGGGAGTGCAAAGTTGAGACACCAAGCTGCGAAGTGGTGGTCTCATGAGCTGACAGCTTGCTCTTCCCTCTGCTCACCTGCTAGGTGATTGCGGTGGTGATGGATGTTTTCACAGACATCGACATCTTCAGAGACCTGCAGGAAATATGTAGGAAACAAGGAGTAGCTGTGTACATCCTTCTGGACCAGGCTCTGCTCTCTCAGTTTTTGGATATGTGCATGGATCTGAAAGTCCATCCTGAGCAGGAAAAGGTTTGTGGCACACTATTTCATTTTCACCGCAGTCAGCTAGTGTGACTGAGCATGCATGATCTACAAGGCGGTTGGTGGTGGCATCCTCATTTACAAGTGAGGGAACCGGGTCCATGAGCACAGTCATTTGCCTCAAGTCCCACGGAAGATGAACAATGTCTGTGACCTGACACTTCCCATCTTCAGTGTCTACCCAAGAGAAATGAAAACATGTCCACACAAAAACTTGTATATGAATGTTTATAGAAGCATTATTCATTACAGTGAAAAGATGGAAACAGTCCAATGCTCAGTAGCTAATAAACAGATAAATAATATGTTGTCTCTTCATACAATAGAATATGTTTCAGCCATAAAAAGCAACGAAGTGCTGATACATGCTACAACATGGGTGAACATGCTAAGTGAAACATGCTAAGTGAATATATGTTGTCTCTTCATACAATAGAATATGTTTCAGCCATAAAAAGCACGAAGTGCTGATACATGCTACAACATGGGTGAACATGCTAAGTGAAACATGCTAAGTGAATGAAGCCAGTCACAAAAGACCAGAATAGGGCAATCTGTAGACAGAAGGTAGATTACTGGTTGCTTAGGACTGGGGTTGGGGGCTTGGAGGGATGTGTGGGATGCTAGCTAAAGGATACAGACTTTTATTTTTAAGGTGATAAGAATGTTCTAAAACTGACTGTGATGATGGCTGCATATATCTTTGAGTATACTAAGAACTGCACAATTTTACACTTTAAACGGGTGAATTGTATGGTATGTGAATTATATCTCAAGCTGTTGAAAAGGAAAGAAATGACAGTTGGGAGTCAGCCTCTCCTCAGAACTGTGCTGTCTTCTAGCAGAGTACAGCCAGGGCCACTGACAGCAGAGGGCCTGGGGGCTGCCTCGGAAGCTGCTGCTTTTGGCAGGAGCTCCAGTGGGCTCCGCTTTCCATCATAGCGACTGCTGTTTGTTGAGCTCCTACTCTGTCCTCAGCAGTGCCCAATTCTCTTGACAAATATAATGTTACTTTATCCTCACAGCAGCCTGCTCAGGTAAGTGCCACTATCCCTTTGTTTTAGGTCAGGAAATGTTGACACACAGAAGCCAAGTGTCTACATCTACAAAGTAGTGGGCCTGGAGTATGATGCCTCTTCTGTCTGCCTCCATTCCTCATTTTGTGTTCATAATCATTGTCACATATTGCTGCAAATTTCTTATTATTATAAAATTAGACTTTACGTCCTTTTCTCTGATCATGAAAATAATTTGAGTTTAAGTATTTAGATGTAAGGCTGTACAACTTGGTCTGTTTAGTGGAAAGAGGCAAGAAAAATAGTCATTTATTATAGGATTCTTTTTTCTTTTTTAATTAAGCAACTTAACCTGTGAGCTTCAGAACTTAACCTGTTCATCACCTATTTGAGCATCTACTATGCACCATGTACTGTTCTAGGTAGTATTAGAAATAAAGGAAGCAGCAAAAGGAACAAAGAATTTGGGCTTTGGTACCATAGGTCACTGCATGGGAGACACTAATCACCTTGTTATTATCAAGCAATTTGGTTTGCAAAATTTTGGCTATTTAACTTCTCCCACAGAGTTCTTGTTGGTTGGTTTCTCTAATGAGAAAATGGAGGATTGGGTTTAATTAGGTAGTTACTAACCTGTCACTGGTACTACTAAGCACATTTGTAGGGAGGTAGGTTTGGGGCTTAGGGATAAAATGAGACGAGACAGCCATTGACCCAACAGTCAATTAAAAGATGAGATCAGGTGGACCCAAGGAAAACGCTGGTCAGGCATGGAAGAGAGTATTATCATCTAACCAAATATTCAGCCCATGAGTGCTCTCATACGGAGCCAGGTGAAGAAATTGAAGGTGTCAATGTTTAATTTCAAGGCGCTCTTTCTATAATTAAGGCTGTGTGTTAGGAGTGGAAAAATCACAGAATAGTTCTGGCCACAACTTCGATCAAGAGATTGGCTCTGATTCATTTACTCAGCAGAAATCTAGGAGTATTTACTGACTCAGTTGTCCACTGTTGGTTGCTGCCTTCAGGGGTACCCAGATCCTTGGTAGAAGGGGTTGAAAAGGAGGTCTGTACCTCTGGCCTCCCCAATTTTTGTAGTATCTTCCTAGGGAAGCACTGCCTCCCCCAGCTGCTTCTCTTACCTGGGCGTGTCTGTGCTGGTGAATCTGTGCCCTCACTGAGTGGGGGCTGACTTCCTGCCCTGGCCCTGCGGCTAGTTCAGAATGTTGGGTTGCCCTGTCTGCAGGAACTTGGTCACACATTTGTGTGTGGCTGCTCAAAAGTGCTTTGGCCACAATCACAAGAGCCTGCATGACATTCAGATATGTCCCAAAGGGAAAGATACACAAAACCACACCTAAATCTGTCCGTAGTGGTATTTTTTTTTTATGCTTGTTATTATATGTTGATCCTTTAAGACTTGGCTCAGAAGTCATCACCTCCTCCAGGAAGCCCTCCTTCTGCCAGTTCCAAGTGTACCTCTATGAAATTTCTTTTTTTTAATTTTAATTTTAATTTTTAAATAATTTGAGATTTACAAAGAAGTTAAAAAATATATAAGGAATTCCTGAATACTGTTTGCCCAAATTCTCCAAATATTAACATCATACAAATCTTAGTATAAGTATCAAAATCAGGAAATAAACTTGATATAGTACTATCTAATCTACAAACCTTATAAAGGTCACCAGTTGTTCCACTAATACCCTTTTTTCTAGTCCAGGACCCTGTCCAGGACGGCACCTTGCATGTCGTCTTAGCTACCTTTAATCTGGAGCTGTTCCTCCATCTTTCATTGTCTTTTAGAGTCTTGATACTTTTTTTTTTTTTTTAAGATGACCAGTAAGGGGATCTTAACCCTTGGCTTGGTGTTGTCAGCACCACGCTCACCCAGTGAGCTAACTGGCCATCCCTATATAGGGATCTGAACCTGTGGCCTTGGTGTTATTAGCACCGCACTCTCCCCAGTGAGCCACGGGCCACCTCATAGAGTGTTGATACTTTTGACGAATACTAGCCAGTTTTCTGTAGAATTTGGTTTTGTCTGATGTGTCTTCATAGTTAAGTTCAGATTATGCATTTTGGTAAGAATCACAGTGGTGATATTATGTCTTGCCATAATTTTTTTGGTTTGTATTTTGTTTTTAACTTTTTATTTCGAAATATAGATTCATAGAAGTTGCAAAGACAGGAAAGAAGTTCCACGTAATCTTTACCCAGTTTCCCCGATGGTTGTATCTTATGTAACTTATAGTACAGTATCAACACCTGGAAATGGACATTGGTACAACGTGTACATATAGTTCTGTGTCATGTTATCACACTTGTACAGAAGACACAGGACTGTTCTATCAAAAGATCTCAGTCATACTACACCTGTATAGTCACATCCATTCCCCTCTGTGTGCCCCCCCCAAAACTTTAACCCCTGGCAACCACTCATTTGTTCTCCATCTCCATACTTTTATCATGTAGACACTGTTATATAAATGGAATCATACAGTATGTAACCTTTTGAGATGGGCTTTTCTTCACTCAGCACAATGCCCTTGAGATCCATCCACGTTGTTGCATGTATCAGTAGTTCCTTTTTATTGCTGAGTAGCATCACATGGTATGGTTATGCCACAGTTTAACCATTCCCCCATTGAAGGACATTTGGATGTGTCTAGTTTTTGACTAATATGAATAAAGTTGCTATGGATATTTGTGTAGAAGTTTTGTGTGGACATAGGTTGTCATATCTCTGGGTGATGTTATGTCTTGCTGTATAGTTTCTTAATCATTCAATTAGTTTTCTCTCTCCTCCTCTAGTCCTTGAATGTAAGAAGCGTGCCTTATTTCTGTTGTCTCAGGGCTTGGCACATAGTAGGGACTCCCTATGTTTATGGAATGAATGAGATAGTCAAACAAAAATTTTAAACATTTAATTTGAATGTATAAGATTTCTAACAATATATAGCTACTGGCTTGCTCCAAAGAATGAAGATTGTCTTAGTATTTTGCATACATTTACATATGTCATTTTACAGGAATAATTATGTCTACATGTGCAGTATATAGCCCCAGTATACTACCAGTGTACCTTTTTGGTAAATATGTTTTTGTGGGAGATGTGACATTGCTGATTAAGCCACATATCATATGAGTGTTTCTGCCTCAGCAGTCCTGTGTTAGAGAAGGCTTGTCCTGTGTTCCTGTTCTCTGTACCCACCATTGTGTGGGGTAAGTGAGGATGAGCTATTATTCATTACTGATGCCATCAAACAAAAGAATAGGAGAAGTGTCAGCTTAGTTTCTTTGAGTCTTTGTTAAAATGTTATTTATTACTAGCATGTTGTCTGTGATGACTTTATCCCCCACATATTGTTTCAAAGTCATTTCTTGGATTCTGTTGTTTAATCTCCCAAAAAGGTATGTCTTCTTTTAGAACACATATACACATGAACTCAGGGAACCCAGTCTAAAGTAAATATAAGTCTAAGGCTGTCAAAAGTAAATATAAGAAAAGGACAGAAGAGAAGTACCCTTACTTGAATTCACAGAGTCATCTGGTGATTATACTATGTGTGTTCTCTTTCCTCAGGGAACCCAGTCTAAAGTAAATATAAGTCTAAGGCTGTCAAAAGTAAATATAAGAAAAGGACAGAAGAGAAGTACCCTTACTTGAATTCACAGAGTCATCTGGTGATTATACTGTGTGTGTTGTTACTAAATTGTGGCTCTAAGCCACACATCTGCCAATAAGTTTGAAATTGTAAACTAAACCCTCTTGTATTAATTGTTCTCATTTGATGAGCGTCACTGAATTGTTCATTTATTTTTTTTCCCACTCCCTCACCTACAGCTGATGACAGTTCGGACTATTACAGGAAATATCTACTATGCAAGGTCAGGGACTAAAATTGTTGGAAAGGTTCATGAAAAGTTCACGTTGATTGATGGTATTCGAGTAGCAACAGGCTCCTATAGGTAAGTTTCTAGCCCGTCCATGGCTTATTAATCTAAACTCTTCAGAAGCATCATGTAATATAAAGGCAAAAGCATCTTTTTCCTCTCAATGAGAGCCTTTACTGCCAAGCATTCTGATATGTGTGTATCTGTGTTTGTGAGTTGGTTAATCAAAGCCTCCTTCTGTTGAGGCAGTCACGGTGGGGGTCATTCCGCAAAAGCATCTTTTTCCTCTCAATGAGAGCCTTTACTGCCAAGCATTCTGATATGTGTGTATCTTTGTTTGTGAGTTGGTTAATCAAAGCCTCCTTCTGTTGAGGCAGTCACGGTGGGGGTCATTCCCCTGTCTTGTGCTCCACAGAATTAAAATGCAGTGGTTAAACTTGCCATGAGACCACTCAATCAGAGACACCTATATCCAAGCCTTGGCCCAGGCCTGTAGTAGATAATTAGGGGTTAACAGTGACACACACAATCTCAAATGCTGGTTCCTCTGGGATTTGGGCCCCACTGGTCTGGCTCATTTGAGAGTTAGAGCAATGGCAGGCATCAGCATCGGTATCGAAGGCTGTCACCTTTAGACTTCGATTATTCACCTTGCTTCAACACTTGTCATGTACTGCTTTAGTCTAGAAAATACTGACCTTGTTTCTGATCTCACCTCTGCAGTCTCCTTTGGCAATGGCGTTAAAGGAGAGAGCAGGGAAGGTGGACAGAGGGTGGAGGTAATGGGTGGTTAAAGCTAGGCCTTTTTACTCATGGCTCCAGGATCGTGTGCGTTGCCATCTCTACATGAGAGATTATCTGATGATATGCATGAGGTGTGTGTGTAGAATTTAGAGAAGAAAAATTCATTTTTGAGGAAACACATCCACTGAGTGCTAATTATATGTCAGCCCAGGGCAAGTGTGGACATGTGAAGGTTTATGGAAGATCAAGAAACTTGCTACCTTTCTTTTAAAACAGAAAGTACTGTCATTGCTCAGAACAAAATTTAGACTCTTTCTCAAGATTTCCTTTTGTAAGAAGTTTATAAATAACAAGAGGAAACTAGATTTTCACCCAAAGTAGAATTTATTAATGAAACTTAGCTCCAAATTGTTTTTGGCTATTCTAAAATATAAAAATATAAAAACTACCCTCTACAAATCAAATGTGCTACTACTGATGACCATGATAGCTTCCATTTGTTGAGCACATTTCATAATCCTGGTATTGGATAGGTGCTTTGTGCACATTATTTCATTGAAGGTTTTCGGAAGAATCTTCCTTCTCAGGCTTTGAAGGCAGATCTCAGGTGGAATTTGCATTAGCCAGGATTCTTGGTTGCAAGAGACTGAGATGATACTATGTTTTGTGATCTCTCATTTAAAACATGCTACTTCTGGTACAAATTTCTGTATCAGTGGGGTGATTGCAAGTGTCAGAAAGCTAACTCAAACTACTTTATGCAAGATGAAACTTATCAACTTGCGGAATTTGAAAGTGTAGAAAGGTACAGTTGGTTTTTGGCTCATCTTGACCTAGGGGCTGTACACATTTATCAGAACACTATCTCCTGGTTCTGCTTTTCTCTGGTTCATCTTTATTCTCAGGTAGGCTCTCCCTTTGAAGGCATATATCCTGGCTTATCTACATGGCCTTTAGTAACTATCTCCCAAAGAGACAGACTCTTTCATCACTGGTATCAATCCCTGAAAAGTGACTTGGCCTGGATGAGATCATGTGCTCACCAAGGATGCAGAGATAGGACACTGGTCAGCCCGCCCCTACTGTGATTAGAGGAGGCACATAAAGGAAAGCTTTCTCGGGTGGGGTAGGTGTGGGTTCTGTTACTAGAGGAAAGAGAAGGGATTGCTGGACAGGCAGGGGCACATGGCTACTAATCAGTTCTAAACATGTTTTGAGCAATGGTGTCATTGTTAGAATAACAAATCATCTCCCTTTGTGAAATTGGCAGCATTGGCGGAGGCAGCAAGGAGCACTAGCAATTCGTAGGGACTGGGTCCTAATCCAGGGTCTACACACTGGTTCTCCAATATGCCATCTCTAGTTGATTTCCTCACCTCTGGCACTGTCCTAAATATTTCAGAAGCCCTTTCTAGGTTTTAAAAACTCTGAGGCTGAGGACTGTGTAGGTGTTAGTGTGTTGATTAAATGGCTGGCCTTTTTACTTTATTGTTAATGCATATATATGTTATGAACATATGTCAGGGCTAGTTGAATTCATGCTAAATGGTAGGTATGAGATTACCAAAGTTGTGACCCTTATATGGCAGGATATCTGGGCTTTATTATTCAGATTGATAGTAAGTAGACTAAAAGTCCTCATCCTTACCAGTTTCTGTTTGTTTGTTTTTAATCCTTAAGTTTTACGTGGACGGATGGCAAATTAAATAGCAGTAACTTGGTAATTCTGTCTGGCCAAGTGGTTGAACACTTTGATCTAGAGTTCCGAATTCTATATGCTCAGTCAAAGCCCATCAGCTCCAAACTCCTGTCCAACTTCCGGATCAGCAGCAAGTTTGACCATCTAGCTGACCGAAAACCACAGTCCAAGGAGCTCACGTTGGGCAACCTGCTGCGGATGCGGCTGGCCCAACTCTCCAGCACTCCCAAGAAGACGGACCCAGACCCAGAGGTGCCCTCAGAGGGCAAGGCAGAGACCAAGCGTGGGGACTCAGGGTCCTCCACCATTAGTGAGGAAGACTACTTCAGCAGCCAGAAGGGTGAGTTAGAGGACAGAAAGGCGACCGATGCCACCACTCAAACAGAGCCAGGAGAGGAGACGCCTGTGCCCAGCATGAGTGAGGTGGGAACACAAACCAGCACCAGCACAGTGTGTGCAGGCACCCAAACCGCAGTCGCCACCAGGGTAGCGAGCTCCCAAACCACGGTGTGTTCCAAGTCAACCACCACCCAGACCGATGTGGATGAGAACATTCTCTTTCCTCAGGGAACCCAGTCTAAAGAAGAGTCACCACTATCGAAAATGTCCGTGTCGAGATCTTCCAGTCTGAGGTCTTCATCCTCTCTGTCTTCCCAGGGTTCCGGGGCAAGCTCCATTGGCTCCCACACTTCCCTCAGAGCCACTGCCTTCCACAGCCCCGGATATCCCAAGTACTTGGGCACCCCCTGCTTGGATCTGTGCTTAAGCGACTCGTTTAGAAACTTGAATAAAGAGCGGCAGTTTCACCTCACTGGTGTCAGGTCCCGCCTCAACCACATGCTGGCCATGCTCTCAAGGAGAACATTCTTTACTGACAACCACCTTGGCTTTAATCCTGGAAATTTTACCAGAGCATCAGCTAATTTGCTTGTTATTAGAGACACAGCACTTTATCCTTCCTATCAGTGACTGCTCAGTGTTCAGGCTCCTGGTTTCAGCCAGACTTGCAGTAGACATCATCAGAGCTTCCTGCTTTATAAAGTATCACATGTCCCCAATTGCCTTTCTTTCACCTAACTTTCAGTCACCTGGTCTGTCTTTGAATTCTATAAGCTGCATATTATTTTACATGCTTTTATTTTATTTTTGTCATATACAGACCAGGTATTGGTTTTATGGCTTAAACACTATGGGTACAGTTTTTTGCACATTTTTAATATTGAGATGATTAAAGAGAATATTTAGGTGTTCTAAGGTTAATTCAGTAAGAGATAAAATATGTTTTGTATTTTTCTTGATTTGCATGCTCTTCTCTGCCAAAGAAGGCCTTCCTGGATTCATCCCAATATTAGCTCTAGTAGCCCTATGGGCCTAATTTCGTCAGATGGGTGTATTGACAATGATTTAGCAATCTAATATCATAGAGTAGGGGCAAAAGAGGACACTGACAATTATACCAGATTCCTAGCCTGGTGGCAGGCAATGTAACTGGTTTCTACACCCTGCTAATCAGGATTGGCATGGCTGTGGAATCCTGTTTTTGTCTGTTCTCATTCGCATGGACAGACAAAAGGAAGAGAGTTAGATGATGGCTTCCTCCTTCACCTGACTTGAAATCAAAAGAGATCTATAATCGGGGAGGGTGTTGCCTGCCGCAGAGACTGCTGATGCACCCAGATCATGAACACTCCTGCAGGTTTTCATACATGCACCAGGACCCCCTTCTGATGACCAGGTTATTTGCTAGGTGAGTGCTATAATCTGTGGCTGTGAAGCAAATACAAGGAAACTGGTCCATGTCTGGCTGTAAACAATTCTAGGCTAAGCGTTGAATAAACATTGTTTGAACCATTTTACACATTTAGGTCACTTCATATGTGCTATCTTTGATCCTCACAATAATGTAGTAGAAAGCTATGTAGGTTAACATAAAGTCAGTATCTTTAACCTGTTAACATAGGTTAAACAACTGCTATTTCCAACTTTCAAATGAAGAAACTGAGTCTCAGATTAAGTAGCATATTCAAGGTCACATGGCTGGTAAATGGTGACACAAGAATTTGAAGACATGATTCCTGATTCTAAGTTCAGCACTCTGTTATACAACTATTTCTCTATGTGCAGTATGGAGGCGTTAGAGTATACCTTGAGAAGTGGCAGTTAATGCAGTGGTGAATGGAAAACAAAAACTTAGCTGCATCAACAAACATAGGTACAAAGCTATAGGGTCCCCCAGTCCTCCCCCCACTCCCCTTTCTTTCTGTGTCCTGACCGAAAATCAGAGTTTCTCGATCCCTCTGTGACCCAGCCAGCTGCAAGTTCTTCCTGGTAGGCTTGAAGCAAAGCCAGGGCCTTGCACATTCCCAGGCACTGATACAGATGTCTAGGTGGTTGCCTAAAACACTGAAAGAAACAGGCCCAAGCCCTGAGCCAAATTCCTTAAACCCTTGCATAAACTCCATACCCTTACCCCCTAGCTGTGGACATATCTAAGTAGAATATCCCCTTCTCTCGCTGTCTATCCTGAGGATAAGCTGCAGCACTCTGTAGGTAAATTCCCCTAAGAAATGCTTTGGACTGATTACACTGGCATTTAGTGCTGTTTTCTTTGGAATCCCAACCTGCCCCATCTTGGGATGGTTTGGGACACTCCCTCATGAGAACTCCACTGCTGCTGCTTTTGGGTAATTCATTTGGATGAAACAAAAGCCCTAATCTGTGATAATGTATTTAAATTCCATTTGAAATTTTAACTCAATGTTCTGTGGAACTGTTAATAGGATTATATGAAAAAGATTCTGTGTTTAGGTTGGGAAATGCTGGACCAAATAAATTTATTTGTTTATTTTTGGCGGCTGGCCGGTATGGGGATCCAAATCTTTGACCCTGGTGTTACAAGGCCACACTAACCAACTAAGCTAACAGGCTGAACCAAATGAATTTAAACAAGGCTCTTTACTACAGGACTACTCAGATCTTTGAACTAACGATCACAGTGAATTTCTCAGAGCAGTGCAGGTATATGGCCTATCACAAACTTACCCAACCACAGAGCACTCTTTTTGTAGAGCAGGACCCAAACCCATTATTCTCTGAAAGTGTTGACAACAATTAGAAATAAGAGTAAGAGATACAGGGAATCATGAGAAAATGGCCCAGTCTCTCAGAGTAAGCAAAGCTTTTCTGGAGTTTGAGTCCAGAAAGTATCACTATAGAGCAGAGTTTCTCAAAGTGAGATCCGAGACCCACCTGCACCAGAGTCTGCTGGGATGCTTGTCTAAAATGTTGATTATTGACTACACTCTCAGTGGAGGGCGAGTATGGCAGCCTATATAGTTCAGAAATATTTGTTACCTTCCCTGGGAGAGAATTATCTCTATCTGTCTGCTGTCAGACTTGTCCATTATAGACTTGGCTATAAATATTTCAACATATATGTCTAAAAGATAATTCACTTTTAAAAAACCCACAACACCATTATCACACCTAAACAACTTTGATGAAAATTTCTCAATATCATCAAATAAATACTCAGTGTTTAAATTTGGTTGTCTCATTTTTTTCTCCCCGATGGTTCGTTTGAATTAGAGAGCCATACAGTTTTAAGATCAACTTAGTCAGACTGCAGGGTTGACATTCTCTTGTAAAACTTAAGGAATCGACTGAAGAGATGCCAGTCTACCTCTGTAGGCAGTTGTACTGGGGATTACGTCTTTTTCTTAATGGAAATTAAAATGACTAACAAGAAAAGCTAAAGTACGAGTTTGTGTAAATTAAAAGTTACATGAAGGACACTCAAGAGTGGGGGATAAAAAATAGAGTCAGGAATGAGGCTAAAGTGTGTGCCACAGTGTGCACACGTCCTTTGTACAGGCTACACATTTAACTTTAAGCTTTCCAGTAGCCAAGACAGAAAAAGAAACCTGGTAGATACATCATTCACAATGTCCATAAGATTAAAGTAAATCCAGGTACAGGAGGAACAATTATCCCTGGTACCAAGATCAGGCAAGAATTTCTTACAAGGACTCAGGAATAGTACTGTGAAGTATCTTGATAATCACATCCTACTAATGACAATGACAGATATTCTGGGGCGTGCCCATACCCTCTATCCCAAAGGCAGTTGTCTGAACCTGTGAATGAGTTGAATGTATTCACACACATTCTGTGAGCATGGAGAATGCACCTTCTGCTGAATTTGTCCAGATGAGCATTGTTAGGCTGGGTTTCCCTGAGCCACACGCCTAAATGTATGCCCCAGTTTACCTGGCATAGTTCCAGTTTGTCTCTTATCCCCAGTTCCCATCTGGTTAACACCCGCTTTCATTCTCAAAAGTGTCCTAGTTTGAACAATAAAACATACGGTCATCCTATGTAGAAAGCACCTTGCAGACCTAAGGAGGTCTTGCCCAACTTGTCCAACTCTATAGAATTGCACGTTCCTCAGGCCAACATGATAGAGTCTCCTCTGGTTGCTGAGTCTTTCCCAGTGGACCTCTCCACAACTCTGTGCCCAAATCCTTGAAGTTAAGTAAACACTTCTGCTTATGCCAATACTTATGCGAATGTGACCACTTGTATACAAGCCAAAAAATCAGACAGGTTTACATATGTTACAACAAGTTGCAAAGGGCTTTACCTTAAGCTCTCAGTGGAACAATACTTATGCGAATGTGACCACTTGTATACAAACCAAAAATCCAGACAGGTTTACATATGTTACAACAAGTTGCAAAGGGCTTTACCTTAAGCTCTCAGTGGAAAGTCCCAGTATGATACAATTCAGTAAAGCAATTCTGCAAAGAACCACTTTTTTTCATTCCGGGGGATAGCTCTCTCTGGTCTGGCTTGATGAGGCTACCAAGGGTAGTTAGGATTTTTCATAGGAAGCTAACAGTTCTAGCCCATGGATACATGGATGGATGTAATGGACATCTGTTATTTTTGCTTCATTCATGCATTTATCCTCTGATAATCTCACCCACAGATTTTTCTCTGAGGAAACATACTATGCCCAGCTCTCAGTCCATGTGGTTCTGGTGAAGCTGACCACATCTGACCCTGGGGATGGAATATGTGGCCTAGGTCTAAGCCAATCAGTACATCTTATTCCCTGGCCTTAGTGATTGATTCAGGAGTGGATAAATGGCCAGTCAGAGATACTTTTGCTAGGGAATCTTGGAAAGAGGTTTGATGCTTTTTTTTTTTTTTTTGTTTGTTTATTTCCCATCCCCCCACAGGAACCCTATGCTCCCTGACTTGTATACAAGCCAAAAAATCAGACAGGTTTACATATGTTACAACAAGTTGCAAAGGGCTTTACCTTAAGCTCTCAGTGGAAAGTCCCAGTATGATACAATTCAGTAAAGCAATTCTGCAAAGAACCACTTTTTTTCATTCCGGGGAATAGCTCTCTCTGGACTGGCTTGATGAGGCTACCAAGGGTAGTTAGGATTTTTCATAGGAAGCTAACAGTTCTAGCCCATGGATACATGGATGGATGTAATGGACATCTGTTATTTTTGCTTCATTCATGCATTTATCCTCTGATAATCTCACCCACAGATTTTTCTCTGAGGAAACATACTATGCCCAGCTCTCAGTCCATGTGGTTCTGGTGAAGCTGACCACATCTGACCCTGGGGGTGGAATATGTGGCCTAGGTCTAAGCCAATCAGTACATCTTATTCCCTGGCCTTAGTGATTGATTCAGGGGTGGATAAATGGCCAGTCAGAGATACTTTTGCTAGGGAATCTTGGAAAGAGGTTTGATGCTTTTTTTTTTTTTTTTTAGTTTTTTAGTTTGTTTATTTCCCGTCCCCCCACAGGAACCCTATGCTCCCTGAGGGCAGTAACCTCACAGCTTCGATGCCTACTGCCTACATACAGTGCACGTGGTGCTAGAGGAGGTTTGATGTTTATGAGGATGTGGTGGCTAGAGCTGATATGGCCATCTTGTTACCACATTACACCTGAGTCAGTAGAAGGTTGAAAGATATGAAGAGTCCTGATTATGTAATATGTGTCCTGATGCAGCTGTTTCAAGTCAGAATTACTCTTGGATATTTTAGTTTATATGAGCCATTTTTTGCTTAAGTGAGGATGGGTTGGGTTTTCTATGACTTTCATCCACAAAAGTCTTAACTGGTGCAAAAATGAAAACCCCTACTAAATCCTATGTCTCCTAAACCTGAGCAATATGCTTGGTCAGAAATATTTCAAGGCAGGAAGTAGCAGTTACCATCTGCACAGAAAAACTTCTATAATATACCCATGAAACATGATT